CTCCTGTGAATCCCTCCAGCGGCAGCCATGCCATGGATCCCACACCACAACTCGTACCAATTGGCCATCTTGCTGGCAGGCCTTTTTGGGAAGCCAAAGACCGAACAGATTGGAGGGTGAGCTCTGTCCAGCCATCGGGGTGGTCCCACAGGAGCTGGCAGGGCAGAAAGGTGTTCAGCTCCATGGAGCAGCCTGTGTGCCTGCTGCTGCCTGCATTAAACAAGGATGCTGTGCCGGCCTCTTCCAGGCAAGGGCCTGTTGCTGTACATCCATCCTCTAAATGTTTTATGTTAAAAGAACATTAAAGTCTCTGGTCTACAGCCCACCTTCTGGGGATATGTCAGAGAATTTGCAGGCATGAGACTTGACAGTGAGAGTCACAGTGGCGTGCTGCCGGAGCCCGGTCGTCAGACTGCTGTGTGTCCAATCAGGAAATGCAGCAGGGTCATGCGATCCCGGCAGCCTGCTTCCATGGCTCCAGGGAGCACTGCGTACAGAAATAGCTATGACTTCACAGCTATTTGCCACAAACTGCTCAGCCAATAATTTAAATACCAATTGAGTTAGTGAAAATCACTACCTGTGCAGAAAGGTAACATTTGCAAGATTAATAATTTCCTACAAATTATTTGACCTATGCTAATCTCTTTTATTGAACCACTGCACTTATCTTTACCCTTCAGGCTAGCTGCTCTCTAATTGCAAGCTGACCTTGAGGTGTAGCATCAGCTAGGTTAAACCTAACCCAGGCTGGAGCATCACCAGCAAAACAGAGCTGTGGTTATTACTCCAGGCTGTGTCCTAGACCTGCTCTCCTGACAGCAAGCCTGCAATAGCACCTCTGCATTGAAAACTGCTACTGCTCTTTATTAACTGAGTTTCTGTTCTGGCTGCGCATGAGGAAACATCAGAAATTATGTAGCAGAGGTAGTGTTTCATTAGCTGGTGGAAGGTCATTTTGAATCTGTCTTGGCTCAACTGCTATGCAGCCAAATTCCTCGCTCAGCTTTAGGCTCTCTGAGATGTGACTTTTATTTAAGTCAAAGTAGCAAGGTCAAGTATCTAATACACAGCTCAGAGATAACAACCTGATTCTGACTCAGATGTGGGCAGAAAGCGTCACCACAGTGTAATCAGAGGAAACCTGTTACTGTCCTTGAGCACACTGATCTGGCAGCATTAGCTGCTGCCCAGGGGAAAGGGCAGTTCAGTAGGAGCTGTGACAATCTGCCCTTTAACCTGGGTGTTAAGGCAGGGCACTGACATAGACTTTGGACAGCCTAGCTCCTGTGCAGGAGGATGAGAGACTTCATCCTGCACGGAGTCAGAACCTGAGGGCAGGCTTTGTGGTGGAGAGCCTGACAAGGAGAAGCTCTGGTCCACATTTGCTGCAGTTTTACCTAGCCCATGCTCCCAGCTGTTGGAAAGGGCTCTGCCCTGTGACACCCATTTGGAGTGGGACTCTCAAGGAGGGCGACTTGGGGCTGGCAGGTGCTGGGGGAGGCTGGGAGGGACTGGGAGCCAGAACATTGTCATGGGGCTCCCTTCTGCTCCTGGGGGTGCTCCCACACTACGTGCAGATCTGCAGGGGAGGGGAGCCAAAGGCTCTGTTTTGCTTTGCAAAGGGGGTGGATATTTGGCACAGTCCAGGGAGCAACTGACTTCAGAGTAGTCCTTTTCTGGGTTTTCCTGCACAAGGGAGTGAGCTAGACCACTTCCTTGTTTATAAAAGGCTCCTATTTTGCCCTTCTTCTGTACAAACACAGAGTTAAGATAGAGAGTACAAGGTGTTGTGGAAACTTGTTTTTGAGAGATGGATTCTGGAAACTTGAATAAGATCTGGATTGCATTTCCATTTATTGGGGCCAAATCCTTCTCTCAGTTACTCCCATAAAGCCCCAGTAACTAGCCAATGTAATCAGTTATTAAAATGATACCTCTAGTGTGACAGGAAAAGTAATGTCTGATGACACTTGGACTCACAGCACTTCCCTAGTAACTTCCAGTTGTATTTAAATGACTTTTCTGGTAGTCCAACAGGATGGACGTTGTTCAGGGGGTGATAAGCCTGGAAATATTTTCTTTGTAAAAAGAAATGCCAGACTCAGTATTGTCCTCTGGGAATGTGACATTGACAGGTGTTAGAGTTCAAAGATCAGAAAACAATAGCATTAACTTTGGAATGGACATGGGTTTCTGACCTGGTGTGGTGAGTGGAAAATTCACTCATCAAAGTCCTGGGACATTAAACACTCACCATTCCTCTGACTCTTTCATACTGTATTAGTTTTCCTTCACAGGGTTCATTTATCCTTGCTTAGTTTGAAACACATCTGTTGATTTTGTTCTTGATATTGCATCATTTGACTTCTTATGTAGGGGTTAATGTGGAACGGGACTATGCAGATCCTGGCTGCACTGGCAACCTAAGAGACTTGTGCACACACGTGTGTGTGTATATATGTGTGCATTTGGGTAGCAGTCATTTTGTTATTAACATGTGATTTCTTTTCTCTTTACTCCTGCTCTTGTTGCATATTTATGACCATCTGCCTGTACCTAATGGAGTGAAGCTGTTCAATGATATCAAGATAATGATGACTGAGCTCAACAAACAGGTACTGTATCTCTGAGTGGAAGAAGTCAATCCCCACCACGTGGGACCTGCACTGTCTGGCCATTGCTATCTCACACATGGCACCTGTCCTGGAGTTCTCTGAGTTTTGTGAAAGGAGCACTCATTATATGCTATTTGTACATTCCAGTCTGACATCTTCAGGTGTCTCATGTGGTTCTGCTTTAAGTACAACCCATACTTATCCCCAAATTGTGCCTTTGTATTTAAAGACTGTAATTTAGTCACTGACAATCCTCTATCTGTGGCTGGAGTTTTCTCTTTTACCTTGCAAGTACATCAAACTCATCTCTTGAAGGGATAGAGGAGTCTGAGATTTGAGTGCATTTATTTGTGTGTGTGGGTGAGCAGGCAGAGTTCCCGCTGGCTCCAAGAGAGTACTCACATGCTGTACATAGTCCAAACATGCCTCCTTCCTGGCCTTTATTTGCAATTCAAACAGAAACAATAATAAAGCGAACTTCAGCCAAAGCTCTTTCTCCAAACTTGGCTAAGGTTCCTCTGCATGAATCCCCTCTATCCCAGCCCCTTGTTTATGCCTTTCAAAGAAAGCAACCCTTCTCCCATCCTGGCTGGAGCCAACAGGATCCACCTGCCAGCATGAGGCAGCTCTGTATTTTTGTGCAGGACGTTAGTACCTGAGCAGAGCATGACTAAGCAGAGATGCTCTCCCTGTGCAGGAAAGGGCCACCCAGCTGCAAGATCTGTATTCATTACCTGTGTGTGCTTCTAAATGACAACAGACAAAATAAAAAAAAGCAGGGAGAGAACTGGAAATACTTCTGTGAGAGAAAAGGTTATGAACAACTAATAAAATTAGTGTGCTTTATGGAAAAGAACTTCCCGTTCCATACACTTTGGCAAGTGTGTGGATCAGTTTGTAAGGCACTGTATAAGGAGAGGGCATTAGATATCATGGACATCCCTAATCAGAGAGTGTCTTAAGACTTAATGTCTGGGTGTTGAGGCTAGAAAGATTTACACTGGAAATAAAATGCATATTTTTAATACCAGGATTGACATTTTCTTAGGTTAATTTACTAAGATGTGTGGTAAATGACCTATCACTATGAAACATCTTAGCCCCCCAAGAATATTTTTTCAGGCAGAAATTCCTGGCAAAATGAGGTATAGAAAGTAGAAATCCAAGCAGAAAGCTCAGAATTGCTGTCCCTTGTCTTTGAAATGACAACTGGTCCTCTCCAGTGCACTGCCAGCATCAATATAATGGAATATCAGACTGGCAGTATGACATTGGTTCTTTATTCCAGCCCATGGCCAGTATTTTTATTGCTGATTCCACTCATTAGCCATATCATACTCCTAACTCTGGGACAAAGAGCCTGAGGTCACTATGTTAATATGCTTCAGGAATAGGTGCCCCAGTGCTGCCCACACTTGTAGTGTGGTTTATAAGTTAGTATTCCCAGAAAACATCAAAGAAAGATATCAAAGGTGTTCCTTATCTGGAGCACTGGAGTGCTCCGTGACTTGTGATAGCATTTTACAATATTGACCCAAAACAGATGAGAGATGAAGTGACGCGTCCTGTCATTGTGCCCAGGAATTTTCTCTCTGTGACCAGAATTTTGACATACAATATGGACAAAGCAGTAGAGAATGAGGGTGCTGTGGGTACTGACCTCTTTTCTGTGGGATTCATTCCTCTCCTCCAGAAAAAAACAAGAAAATAAATTCTCACTTTGTACTAGGTATCATGAGCACCTCTTCCCACAGCAAGTGTCCTAGACAGCCCTTTTCATGCTGTAGCAGCACACAAGGTCTGTGGGAGTTAGACTTCAGCATGAAGTGATTTCTAGCTGATGGGAGGGACTCCAGAATGTGGAACTCTCTTCCCGTAAAAAAGGCTGTTCATTTCACATTAAGTTTTAATTTAGCAGAACAATTGCTTTCTTTCTTCAGAGGAGGAGAACATGTTCTATGAACAAAGACTGTCCATAACCATTAACTTTGGCCCCACTAAGCAAGAGGTCAGGTTTATTTTCCATACACTCTGCGTGCCAGACCTGTTTTCCCTTGTTCCATTCTACTGCTTTCCATCAGGTCACTCTTATTATAGTTCATCCGTGAAAAAAAGCAGGAAAAATTATTTCCTTCAAATATCAACATGCAAGATGGGTATCAGAAAACTGCAATAAAATTTAGAAATAAGCTTTTTTCTTTGACCAAGCAGAACATATCTCACAGCTCTAACAATGCAAGAAGAAATATTTTTCTAGGCTCAGCAACTGGCAACAAAAAAGTATGACTGTTTCAAAGGTTGGAGAAATTCATATTCAAGATAGCTACAACTTGCTTTCAGTACAGTGTAATCACAAGCAAAGGAGAGACAAAGGGATTAATTCAAGATTTATTTTTGCCACCAGATTTTGTTCTGAGAAATCTAGATTTTGGCATTACATCAAATGAATGGTCCATTAATCACTTTTAAAATACTCTTTGCTTTTGGATTTTCCTTTTTTGATGAATAAGAGTATTTTGTCAGTGACAAAGATATAAAGCCCCACATGTAGATTCACTTAGCAAAGGAAATCCTACAGACAGACTGATACCCTTTTTTTTTTTCTTTTTAGTGCAAGGGAATACACTCAAGATTCTTTCTCAAGATTCCTGAGAAAACCTGTGGAATGAAAGATTATCTCATTCTTGAGTATCTTCCAAATTTTTCAAAGACCAAAGCTGCACTGATTTAAGTGTTTGGAACATTATAAGTAGCAGCTCTGAGTCAGTTCAGAGTCAAAAGAACACCAGAGGCCATCTTGATCTGGTGCAGGGTTCACTCTGAAACCCACTGCAATTACTGGAAGTGACATCTTGGACACTGCTGTGAGCAGGGCTGGGAGCTGTCTGGTGGGCTGAGGCCCGCGCAGCCTGGAGGAGCTGACGCTCCACTGGTGGGCGAACTGTTCTCTGCTTCCCCACCAGAGAAAAACATCCACCTGCGGGCACAGCAAAAGTGTTGAGTGAGGTGCCAGCTGAAGTGTCGTGCTCATCTGGCTGGGGTGCAGCTGTGCCAATGGTATCACCCTTATCAGAGAGCGGGCTCTGGTCCCAGAGAGAGGAAGATGTGTGAAAAGGAAAGAATGCTCCAGCCCTTTTCTTTGGCACAAAAGCCTCTCCTTATGACAGTTTCACTTGAAAGAAGAAATGCAGCACCTCCATTCTAAAGAATAATTCATCTGAGCTAAACCACAAGCAAAGTCACAAAGAAAAGCTGGGACAGTGTAAGGCACTGCATTTATCATGAAACCTAGATATAGCAGGGACACTGAGGAGGTTGCTTTCTCAGCAAATAAACCATTGAGCCCCTGATCACATATTCCCCTTTGGAAACAGGCTGCCCTCAGCCATGGGTCTGTTATTCTCAAGTTCAGTTTGTTTTGCTCAGTTTTGTTTGTTTCTGTAGTGCCTTCACAGTTTTTCCAAAAGGGACACTAGCACACAAACACACACAAAATGGAAAAAAAAATGTTTTGCTTTCTGGAAACCCTGTGGCTAAGAACACCTAAAATGTCAGCTGCCACTTTATTTAGATATGGCGAGGCATATGACTAGAGAGGGAACACAGCTGAGACAAATTCTATTCTTTTTTTGTTATATAAATGTATTCTGAAAAAAAAAAGAAAGGAGAAAATTGCCAGGGCATTGGACAGGGGAGACCTAGCATTTCTAAACCTAGACTTTTCTCGCTATTTCCTTTCCATATCCACCTTCTCACTACAACCAAAGCTTGTGTTTACCTATATGCTCTTTTCCTCTACAGGTCATAATTGGTTGAAATCACTGATGTTTATCTTACTTCCCTACCTATACCAGTGTTACTCAAAAGGACTGGGTAGGGGCAAAGAGGAGGCATCTGCCTAGCCCTTTGTTCAGCTGACGTCCCAAAGATACTTGTGGCAAAATCCCTGTGTTCCAGCAGACACAGAGACGAGAACTTCTGCTTAGATTCCATTGCTCCTTGTCCATGCTCATAGCCCTGGCTGGCTGGAAGGATGGAGCAGGGAATGCCCTGATGCCCGAAGTCTGTGCCTACAGCAGAACATGGCTTCAAGGCAGATGCCAGGATGTAGCACATTTCACCCCTGCTCACTGAAATGATCTTCACTTCTGCTTATGAGATCCATTAAAGGAGAGACTTGGTGCTAGGTGACAGAATAGGAACAGAGGATTTCTCTACATGAACTGTTTATTGGGTTACCAAGATTACCTTGCATCACTAAGCAGGACACGGTGATGTATGTGACCTAGGAAGAAGTTGCTGAAGCCCCTTAGGGCAATTCAGATGGAGAATCCCACCTGCTAACATCTGTCAGGCTATTACTTTTCTCTTCCTACGTGCCCCACCACTGTGATGGAACGAGGTTAGTTGCCTGGCTGCTCCTGATTTTGTGGAGTAAAGTCCTTAGCCCTCACAGTGGAGAAAACAATGGTGTGGCTTAAGTTGCTCCTTGCCCAAATACCTGGGATTGAAAGAGGCAGGTCCTGCTCCTGAAGGTTGCAGAATAGGGCAAAGGGATCATGTGACTGGGCTCTGCTAAAATGCATGAGCTGGAAGGATCAAGGGATTGTGACAAAAAGGTTCCTTCAGAGATCTGCCATAGCAGAGAAGGCTAGGAAATAAATAGGCACAGGAATTGTGGGATGCCACCAGTTCCGAGAGATGGTGGAGCTCAGTGGCAGACATTTGAAATTCACTGGGAATTCAAACATGAAACCTAATAGAGAGACACAGAATTTCCCAGCAATATTCCCTTTTTGTTTGTGCGCTGTATCAGATCTGTCACATGAAAAGAGCAAAACATAATGTGTCATTTTGAAGGACATATCAAGGTGCTAAAGAGCTGCTGGCTCTTGGAGACACTGACTGTGCTACATCTGGTCACTTCCCCCACCGAGGAGCCTGGGGCTGATGCTGGTAAAGCACGGCTGGGGTAGCACAGGAGGTAGGTGGTGCATGACCTTTAATTCCTCAGTTAGAGGAAACTGGCTGAAAGAATGCAGGAGAAATTAGAGGAATTAACTTTGGTCTGTTAATACTAGATCTGTCAATTTTGTTCTTTGGTTAAAGTGCACGGGAATTCCTGTAAACAACCGATGGCTTTAAAGGTTTTTAGCTGTAAGTCTGTTCACCTTCCATCCCCCTTTGCCTGACCTTGAGCCTTAATTAGAAGGTCTGTGATTCATGACTAAACAGAATAATTGCATAAAACAGAGCAGAAAGGCATTCAGACATAACTGGATTTGCTCTAAATATGAACATTTGTACATGTACTCATCATCATCATCATCATCAGGATAATAACATGGTACATTCTAGATCTTTGTATATATTAGTGAAAAACAAATTGCCCCAGGTGGTTTCTGAAATGAAAAAAATCCTGTTCTCAGCCTGTATCTGTTAATTTTTAACTACTACTTACATTCCTCTTACTCTACATATTAAACCCACTTGTCATCAGCTATTGATTTCATAGCTGTAACAGTCGGTGAAGGAAAATAAACCGCGGGACAGAAAAAAGAAAATCCATGTCAGGATGTGCTCCATTTTGTATGCCATTTAGTAGAAGACCAACAAACTACAGATCCCTTTGGCATTGTCCAGCCTCCCCATCCTTCCCCCAGCAGCAGAACAGCAGAGGAAAAAGGGATTGCAGAGGCAGATGAGCTCTCTTCTTTCCGTGGCCCCTGAGTGTGACCCCACTCTATCCAAGCAACATACATATGGGCAGCACTCAAATGCAGTTGCTGAATAACATGGAATAAACCTCAGTTCAAGTTTTAGTTTGGCACTGGGATACACTCCTCCTGCTGCATCTCCAGCACCTGCCTGTGCCAGGAACAGGGGGTTTCTTCTCCAGTAACTCCCCTCCCTTCTTCCCCCACAGGGCAGCCTTTGCTGCTGGGTGCGCTCTCTGTGGATGTCTGGCTTCTTCAAGCAGAAAGTTTTGACAACACAAGAGTTGCTACTCTGCCAAGTGCTGCAACCTCTGAGAGTCAGGCATATGATTTTCTTCACCAGATATTTTTAAACCTTTTGGACAAGCATAACTACAGAGTTTTTGAGTTCAGATGTGATAAAAACCTGCAAAAGTATATATTGCTCTCCATATGAGTGAATGCTCATCAACCTTTGCTTTCATGAAGTCCAAGCACCAACATTCAGATCCTCAGTCCTTTACAGTCAGGAGGTATGAGACCCACACCCTGACAGTGCAGACTTGCATCATGGCCTCTCCCTGCCACCCGAATGCTACTGGTATTTCTAGAAATTCAGATGTTATTTTATAAAATGACATTCTATTTCTGTAGGCAGAGTCAACCCAAAAAGAGATGGTGTCAGGGGATGCATGTTATCTGCAACACTTTGGACATGGATTCTGAGGTTTTATTTGGCCTGTAATTAAGAATTGATAAAATGGAGCATTTATGAAACCTAAATGTGGTTGAAATATCCCTCTTTTGATGAGGCACTTATTTTTTGGGTTACTGTGTACACATCCCTGCCAGTACAACACTGAGAAAGGGGGATAAACAAAGGAGTGAAGTCAAAGAATTAGGCTAAAGTGAAACCTATGCTTCAACCATAACCAACATAGTAAATTTAAAGGCAGAAAATGCCTGATCAGAGAAAGCACACAATTATGTGTGTTGAGTAGCTGGCAGAAATGGGAACTCAATAATTGCAGTGTAATTCTTGTAATATACAGGGACAAATGTTTTGGACACTTTGATACTTCCTGGAGGACCAATGGTATAGATTAATTTGTCCCCTTCTCCAGTCTTGCTTTGGGGTCAGAGGCCCAAGGATGAGGGCAGTACTGAATAAATTGTGGACTGGGGGTCCCTGTCTCATGTGTGTGTGTCACCATAGAGCGGTTGCATGTATCCACCTCTGACACAACCACAGGGCTTTCAGGAGCACAGCTGTTTACAAATAAGATACCGTGCATGAAGATTTTGAAAATGTTTTAACAGTTGAAGAAACTAAACTGAGTGGAGAGAGTGCTGCCTTCTTTACAGGTGGAGACCCTGAGTACCTGTGGAGCATCAGATGCAAACAGGTAAATTAATTAGTTAAATTCTCAGGAGGAAAGGACAGTTGAATATTTTCAGAATATATTTGGGAACCAAGTATCTCCTCTAATTGTGGACTATTTCAGATACCAGATATTTCAAATAAATTCATTTGGACCAAATTTATTTGGTCCAAAACCATTGATCAAATCTAACAAAAATCGTATCTCTTTCTGTATACTTACATCCATAGGCAGTTATTACTTGAATTTTTACTCAGCAGCATGTATCAGACAATCTGGTAATTTTAGGTAGAGAATGAGTTCAATAATCTCAATGATGCAACATTTCCTGGTCTGCTCTGCTGATGAGCCCTGCTCTCAGGGTCTGCTGAATGGAAAAACAGACACGCAAATGGCTCAGTCCATTACTGCCTGGCACCCCTCCTAATTTCTGCCTTCGCTGTGCACTGCAGGAGCAAGCTGCTAGAGCAGAGCTCTCAAAAGAAGTGCATCACAGAGCAAGGTTATTAACCTCTACTCTGTTCACCAGAGAGCTCCTGCCTCCTGAAGGTTAATTTTCTGATTTCGCTGTTTGCACTTGTGCTGTCCTCAAAGCAGGAGAGGCGCACAGATGAATTCCTAAATCAGGAGGAACCTAATGAAAATGTGCATATGTTTGGAGATATCTCTGTGTTGCTCCCAGCCCCCAGTTCCCAGTTCCCAGCTCTCAGCTCCCAGCTCCCAGCTATTGGGAGCTTCCCAACATGAAAACTTAGAACAATCCCAGTGCTGTTGAAGGGTAAAATCCTTGACCTGTAAAGCTGCTAAATTTCATCAGATTTCATAGAGCATCTCAAACTCAGTTTTGCCACTATCCTGGCCCAGCAGTCTTGCTGACATGTTGGAGGAGTTTTCCTTGTTACTTTCTCTCCCAACATCAGAAGATGAAGGGACAATATCCCTCTTGGGCATTATCTCTTTTCTTCATCAGTGAAGTGACTCAAGCAGCTGGGTCCAGGAGACGAAAGCTTCAGTAGATTTTTGTGACAAGACTGTAATTTTATGCTAATTTCATTTCGGAAACACACATTGGTTTGTTGCTTCCTTTGTGTGCATGGATTTGATTTTCATACCACATCAAATAGTTTTAAAATCTGCTGAATTAGGGAGAGCACATCATAACATAAACTCTTATATAGAGTATCTTGGTCTATGGATATTTTATGGACTCCTTAATGTCTCTATAATGTAGTTGACATGCAAAACATGCACAGAGCTCACAAAACAACTTTGAACTCCTCATACCAAGTAATCTGTTTTACACATTGCAATAAAAATAAATGTGGCAGGGAACCACACCGGAGGCTGCTGTGCCCCTCTAATTTTTTTAGCAACTGGGCTGCTTTTTAGCCTCAAAATTCACACAAGCAAGTTATTTGTTCTGACCTTTGTATAAGCAGTTTTTAGATGTGTGTTCTATACTTCTGCTGCCTGGTTTGAGGCAGAGCCTGGGTGCAGAATGTCCAGATATTCACTCCTATAATTGTTCTCACACATGCTTCCACTGTCATCACAAGAGAGGTTGAGGGCAGGCTGAAGCTAAAAGAGACAGTGCCACAACCCCATGTTCTGCAGTTCCTCATTCTGACCCACTGTTCTATGCCTAGGACTCATTCAGGCAGTTCTATCCCTGCCAGGCTTTGACTGATTACAGGTGCCAAACTCCAAATGCCAAATTCTCTGTACTCAGCCAGGAAAGCTGCTTCTCTTCATTTTTCCATTGAGTAGCTGGTTACCAGAAAAATCAGTGATGCTGAAATAGAAGAGTCAGAAAACAAAGATTAGGAGTTGGGACCCAAATTCACTCTTCTCTCTCAATCTTAGTCCTCTCTTCATTCCCAAGCCCCTATTGTAGCATCAGCCTGAAGTATTGTGACAGCTAGAGATTATCAGGAAAATGATCTTGTGAAAAGAAAGAGAAGTGTCATTGATAAAAGACTAAATAAAATGGGATCACAAAAGGTTTCCTAAAAGAAACCTTATTTCCAAAACTATCTGAGTTGTATTTAATAAATTCATCTTTCTTTAAGCATTCACTTGTATTTCATACAAGTCTTAAGAAAACACCTCCTGAGAGAGTACACATGAAACACCTCTTGCTTTAGTCCTTTCTACACACAGGGATTGGGAAATGTGAATGCAGAAGAGCATTAATCTGAAAGCAGCAGAGAAAATCATTTCTCCTGAGGCCTGTAGAGGCAAGACCATCTTCTGAGTCAGGAGAAACTTCAGTTATAGGGATTCTCCAGTACAAGATAGTTATTTTGGTTTTGATTGATGTTAATTTTATTGATAAAAATGTCTGGACTGGATTATGAAAGGCTGCATGACTCACAGGGGCATACAAGCATGTGTAGAAAAGATCAGAAGAGAAAGTGAACTTTCTCCTGCCTGCAGTGGGGTGAGTCAGAGTCCAGAGAGCTGGGGAAGATGTGACCACTCTCCAGTACTGCAAGCAGAGTGGGGCTCGGTCAGGGAAATGGTGGGTTGCCACTTGAGGGAATTCTGCCCAGGCTAACTGAGTCAGGACTCAGCTGTACTGTGCCACAGCATTCGGATCCCCTGAATGTGCGCACACACACACACACACACACACACACACACACATATATATACAAAAACAGATGCATTCAGTGCATGCTTTCTCTACCTCTACACTACAGAGCTCTAGATTGCTAAGTCCATTTCAAAAATTAGTCAGCTGAATTTGTCCTAACAATCACAGCTTATTCACTCTACTCCCTTATTTGCAGCCTGGCGGCTGTTGAGGCACGTGGGTGCTCAAGGCTGTGCGTCTGTGACTGTCTTGTTTGGAGAGGGAGGTCCCGAGCAAAGCCACTCCTACAGGCAAAGCCACTCCTCCACAGGCACAGTGCAGTCCCTGGCAGAGAGGCACATCCCTGGGGAGGCAATGCCTTTGCCACTCACTTTTGCCTTTGCTGCAGAGCAAGCACTAACAGGAAATAGCAGCTTGCCCTGCAAGGATGCACCTGCACTCTTAGTCTTGTCCTCTTCAGCACACTCAATGCAGGTGGCATTTTATCTGTTGAGGCTGGTTTGTGATATCTGACCTATTTTTTTTCTGATTACTATCTATCTTCCCCTTGCAAAGGGAGTATTTTTAAAATTTTTTTCTTCTTCTTTTTTTCCTTTTTCTTGTTGTTGTAATATCCTGAAGGCAATAAACAGCAGAGTCTTTTTCTGTGAGAATAGATCCAGGTTTCAACATACATTACTTCTGTCCAGTTTCAGAATCATTTTGTTTCAACCCAGTAACTTGCAGCAGGCAGCCTAAGTTGGTCCAGCCACTCACAAGAGGTGAAAAACTTGAACATCCTGGGAGGAGCTGCTGTTAAATGGCTGCTGTTGGAGTGTCTGGCTGGTGGTGGTTTGGTTTCCATCTTTCTTTCACCATCTCCAAAACCCAGCCCATGGCTCTCAGCCATTCACCAGGCACTCTGGTCACTTGTGCCAGTTTGCTGGTTTAACGCTGGTGGCTCCATGGCAAAAATCTATTCTGAGGGTTTCTGAAACAAAGCCTTAATGATATATGGCTGCCAAAGTTAGCTGTTTCGCAGCTGTAATAGCACACTGTGGGCTGTGTGGCAGCCAAACTGTCTTTGTTACTGTATTAAGTGAGGTGCAAGTGCCTGGAATGCTACAGGCAGCCAGAGCCATCGTGGGTGGCAGCTGCCTTCAGAGTCCTTGAAAGGATATGCTGTGATAACTTGATAAGGTGTTTGCATGTGTTAAAGGGCATGACATCCGTGAAAGGCTGGCTGGTGAGAGCACAGTTTTCCTTGAACATGAGGTCCTCCAAACTGCATTAGAATTGGGTGGAAAATATGAGGCATGTTGTGTTTTTTGTACATGACTCGAATTATTTCATGAAAAACTGTTTTCCTATTAATGCCTGATTCAGTTAACCTGTTTACAGATTCTTTTACAGTGCCCCTAACTTTTCCAGTGAGAATATACTGTATTTTGTCAGAAATACATTATGAAATTCATGGCACTGGGATGTGGGTTGGCATTCCCAGTCTGGGGGCTGGTTTCTGTAAAGCTACTGTAAATCAGCAAGAATTCCACAAAATTATTTTGGTGTAAGTACAGGGTAGGTAAGAAGGGTCTTAGGCTTGCTGTTCTTATTCTCTGCATCTATGTGGACCTATAAACTCTGGGCAACAAGACAGTTTGACCACTGCAACTGCCCTTCTAGTCTTTCTCCCAGCTCAAAACTGGCCCTTATGTTTCTTAACAGATTTTGCCTCCCCTCTGCTTGTCGTCATCAGAAAGACCCATCAGCCCATCTGTGCAGCCAGGTTCCACACAGCCGTTCTTGTTAGGCTGCAGTGGTTATTGCTACCAAGTAAGAAATAAAAAGCTCAAGCAAGCTCTTTAAAATAAGTGCATAGGATACAGCGTCTAAGGACTTATGTCAGGGTGATTCTCCCTTCAGTCTCATCACTCTGTGGAGCTTTGCTAGCACAAGCAGGTGAGATGCAGGATCCTTATATAGTGTGACTACTGGCATTCCCCTGAGAAGGGAAAATGGCATGGCAAGCATCTTTAAACTGTCTGTAGTCAGCCAGAGGTGCTGTGGCTGCATTTTCCAAATAACTGAGAAAGCTGATTTTATTATGGATTTGTTTTTCAGACATGGGGATTACGCCCTATAACTGACTGGTGTGTCAGGGTAAGACACACCACAACAATGGAGTATTTTAAGACTATGTCCTGCCCTCGATGAATAAATTTAATTCACATGTTGAACAGTTTCTGGTCCCATTTCCTCTTGGTGAAACCTCATAGCTCATGAAAACAAATTCTCAGGGCTTTTTCCCCTTATAATCCATTTGTCTAAATTTCACTGAAGTTGTTGAGTTATGAACATTTAGCAAGAGGAAAATGAACTCTTCATGATTGTTTTGTTAGAAGGACTGAATGGATTAAATTTATAACTAATCCAGAGCCACAAGCCATGTCTGGCTGTGAGATAAACACGGATGCTGCACAAGTTATTGATACCTGTGAATCATTTCCATGGTGGGAACCTGAGGTGAATTATTTGGACTACAGTGCATTTAGGTTGTTGCAAGATCAGTAAACTTGACAAGGCAAAAACACATGCTGTACTGCACATTGCTGCGTTTTGGCTTCCATTTATATTATGGTAACAGAAAATAAAAAATCTATCTTACTCTTCCAAGAACTTTCAAGCAAGAGAGAAAACTCTAAACCCAAACCATCAGTAATTTTGCCTAGCATAATTTACAAAATATTTCTCTCTTTGGCACAGGTAAACAGAGGGCAGACCAATCACTAGACCTAGACTAAATCATGGACCTAGACTAAATGTGTGTCAGAGGTCTGAAGTATTTTCAAAATACCAGGAGAGATCCTCAGGTCCTCAGTGGAGCACCCAGGCAAGTTACTCAGGGCAAGACAGGAGAGGAAATGAACTCCCAGAGATGCTCACATGCATGTTATCAGCCGACCACGAGTGCAGAGCACCTTACTCCTTTCTCACTTACAGCAGGAAAAGCTGCTTCACATTCAGCCTGGTCTCCTGGAAGGAAGGGGTCTCTGCCTATGGCAGATGGGCTGGAACTAGTTGATTTTGAAGTTTCTTCTACACAAACAATTCTGTGATTTACAACAGGCTTTTGCAGTGCATGAAGGAAGTGATGTGCTATAAACTGGCCTGTCTTCTTATTTCAAGTACCTTTTTCTTATACCCATAGCTTGAACACTTTTGCTAGAAGTTCTTCAGTCTCTTTACTGAATTATGTTGTGCACTGAGTTCCTGACCTCCAGGTTATTTCAGGATGCCACAAGGTGGATGTAGCTGGAGATCTTGGGCACAGGCTGCAAAAGGGAACAGATATTGAACTGATATCAGACACAGGAATAGGGCTAAATCTCCAAACCTCATCTAAAGCTTTCTATACTTTCTGGACTAGTGATTCCACATGCATAACCAAATGGATTGTAGTTGTTCAACTGCCCATTTTGAAAATGTTTTTATGCTTCCTGAAGCTGTTTCTATTATGCATGTAGGTAATCTGGAAAGGGGTATGTTCCACTAGCATCTTCATACCAAAAGAATGATAAATGTGCTGAAAATTCAGATGAGCTGGGAATAAGTTAACTTTAACAGGAGAATTTTAAATAGACTTACAAGTTGCAACAATGCTGGTCTATTGACATACATTGGAATTTTCCTCTTCAGTAAAAAATACCCCAACAACTGAAAAATCAAAATATTCTATATTTCATCTGTCTTAATAACTTTCTGAACTCTGCAGTATCATTGTGTTTCTAGCTGGATGCCACATATTTTCAAGTTATTTCTTCTCTTACATGAGTGGAAAACCTGACCTTGTAGGCTCCCCTGCACAGTCCTGTCTGTTGCACAGAGAGTGAGTACGTCAGATGTCAAAACTCAAGTGGTTGTTTGTCCTTGTTTTTTTTTTATCAATAGCCAGGAGTATGATGGCACAGGCAGATACTGAGTTTCATTACAGAATTCAGGATTCAGGTCCTGACTGATTGATTGGTAGCTCTCCTAGGGCAGTCAACCCTAAATTACAGAAACACTAAGACATGAAGTAGTATTTGTGTTCACTGCAGCTATACAGTACTATTTTTTATTATTATTATTATTATTATTATTATTATTATTATTATTATTATTGTTATTAGCAGTAGTAGTAGTAATAGTAGTATTACACAGGAGAAGTTAGTTTTCTCCTTAGTAACAGGATCAAGTGGTCTGAGGAACAGCAGCTCGATGAAAGTTCAAGTGGTTATGTACCCAATGGGCACAACAGATCCAAGATGTTGAGCCACTTGGAAATGATAGCTAGAACCAAAAAAAATCAATGAGGAGATGATGAATCTTGGATGTGTATCAGGTTTATGTGTTAAGCCAGCCTTCTGGGAGATATTTTAATAAATTCAAATTGTTCTGACAACGGATGAAGATAGCAAGTAGCTATATCATTCAAGATAACTACTATTCAGAGAGCAGGTTCTTGTCTTGCATGTTTCCTCTGTCAGGGAAAACTTCATTCTGAGTTTGTGTGGAGGGGCTTGAGCAGAAAACTCAACCTTCTGGGAATTTACTGTTTTAATGGTCTGTGAAAAAGCTGCTGGAGCCCCTTTTGTGACCCCATTATCATCTCCAATGGCTTTCTCTTGGCTTTGTTCCCCGACTAAGCCAGGTGGCTGTGGGAAAGATGCTGCTCCATTCTACATTTAGAAACAGGCAGAGAGCAGAAGTGATGCTATAAAAAGTTTCAGCTTCAGTGAGAAGTTAAAATCTGCCATTCATCCTGTAGAAACCTCTGGAGTGCTAAGCCCCCTTCTCCCTTCCTCCTAAGCCCCCTTCTCCCTTCATGCACAGTCAGGAAACATTTGTGAATCTTAAACAGAGGTCATGCCTAAGACCCACCCACTTGATTTTGCAAGCCCTTTGTGTGCAATGAACAAAGAAACAGTTACAGATTTTTTCTCCAGCTTTGTTAGAAGAGCACATGAAAGGACAGGTGGGCTCAAAGTGTAGAAGGACAGTGCAGGTGGAGGACAGACAGTTCAAGTGCGTAACTCTTGCATGCAGGAAGGAACAGAGAAAAGTTTTCATGGCCTGGGAAAGGCATGCTCTCTGTTTCACACTCCCTGCTACTGATTCCTCCAAGGGAGGAGAAGGCTTCAGGTTTAGCTGTTTTGTCCAGATTCTCTGCAGTTCAATAGGCACCTGCTAGCTTCATTTCTCCTTCATTCAACAGAAAAAGTGGTGGAGCTATAAACGACAAGAAGCTTTTTTGTCATCTTTGACAATTCTTGCATTTTGTGTTGACTGCTCATGTGAGGAAAACCAGTGTGTTGTGTGTGTGTGTCTATTCATAAGATCATTGAGCCTAACCATTAACCCACCACTAAACCATGTCCCCTAGGGCCATATCTACACACATTTAAAATACCCCTATGGATGGCAACTCAACTATTTCCATGGGCAGCTTAGTCCACTGCTTGGCAAACCTTTCCATGAAGAAACTTTTCCTAATATCCAACCTAAACCTCCTCTGATGCAGCTTGAGGCCCTTTGCTCTTGTCCTGTCCCTTGTTACTTGGAAGAAGAGAGACAGCCCCATTGCAACAGCCTCCTTTCAGCCAGTTAGAGAGAGTGATAAGGTCTCTCCTGATCCTCCTTTTCTCCAGGACATAAAACCTCAGCTCCTGGAGCTGCTCCTCACATGATTTACCTTCTAGACCCTCTCCCAGATCCATTGCCCTTCTCTGGACTCTCTCCAGCCCCTCAGGGCCTTTCCTGCAGTGAGGGCCCAGCCCTGGGCACAGCACTGGAGGTGCGGCCTCAGCAGGGCCCAGCACAGGGGGACAATCCCTGCCCTGGCCCTGCTGCCACAGCATTGCTGATCCAGGCCAGGATGCCATTGGCCTTCTTGGCCCCCTGGGCACAGCCTGGCTCATGTTCAGCTGCTGTCACCAGCACCCCCAGGTCCTTTTCCTCTGGGCAGCTTTCCAGCTGGTTTTTAGTGCTGTGTGGGATTGTTGTGACACTAGAGCAGAAGCCAACACTTGGCCATGTTGCATCTCAAGATAATATTTCCCTTTCTGTAACCTGAGGAATGTCTGGCAAAATGGTGGGGTAGATCTTGGAATGCTGTTAAGAGATCAGGCAAACAGAACATGGGACATCTGCAGTTTTTGTAGCAGTACATGCAGAAAGGACAGACGTCCTACCAGCTAAAGAGAGGGGTTCTGCTGGTGGTTGTCACCATCTCAGAAAGAGCTCAGATGGTATCCACCTGGCAGAAAGTCATGTCCTCTGCACTTGCCAGAATAGATGTGGCTACCCAGAGAGAGCTTCCATGAAAACATGAAATCATCAGGGCCCAAGTGCCAGAGTCTGTCAGTAATAATGGCTGCAGTAGACACAACAGCCGTGTGAGGTGTGACCAAGTGGATGACCTTCTCAGCCTCGTGTCAGCCTTACTAGAGGAAGTAGGAAGGTTAGGGAAGTCTGAGAAGGAAATGAACTTGCAGAACCATTCTCTGGCCTTCTGGAGGTGGAAACAGGAACAGAAAACAAGGTCAAGGGGATCCTGTGGGGTTTTTTCCCCAGCAGGCTGATGACAGTAGCTTAAAGGGAAGAGTGAATGGAGGCAAGTCCACACTCAGGAAGCAGGCAAACCTATTCCCTGCCTACCTCACCTTCCAAGTGACTCTGTACAACAGGATATGGAATGCCAACCATAGGCACTGATCACTACCACAACAGTGCACCTTTGATAATTCTGCACTGGCTGGGACTCCATGACCCCCATCCATGACATGGATGGACTGGAGCGCCAGGAAGTGGTCAGACAGACTCACACACCCTTTGGTAGTCCTACAGGTAGTCCTACAGGGGAAAAGTGTTCATTCCAATGGGGAATGAACACTGACTGTGGACTGCTGGGGCCTGAATGAAGCCACACCACCACGGAGTGCTGCTGTGCTGGACATGCTGGAGTTTCAGCATGAACTGGAGTCCAAGGCAGCAAAGTGGTGCCGCCATGGACATTGCAAATATGTTTCTCTCCATTCCTCTGGCAGCAGAGTGCAGGCCACTTTCACCTGGAGGGGCGTGCAGTACACCTGGAACCAACTGCCCCAGGGGTGGAGGCACAGTCCCACCCTCTGCCATGGACTGATTCAGATTACACTGGAAAAGGCTTTGGAACATCTGCAATACATTGATGACATCACTGTATAGAGGAACACATCAGGGGCAGTTTTTAAGAAAGTGGAGGAAAAAAGTCTAGATCCTCCTGAAGGCTGGTTTAAGGAACCTGCCTGCAAAATTCAGGCTTTAGGAGTAAATGGCAGGATAGACATAATCATATTTTAATGGTTGTGTTCAATAAAATACCAATTATGACCCCACAAACCAATAAGAAGGAAACACAGGCTTTCCTAGGCGCTGTAGGGTTTGCAGAATGCATATTCTAGATCACATAACAGTGAAGAAGAATGATTCCAGGTAGGAGATTGTCCATGGAGTGTCCCTGTAAATTGCTCTCAGCCCATGACCTTTGCCTTTTGTCTCCCATTGGAGGCCGAGGGGAGCAGCACTTGGTCTTTTTTAGTGGGAATACTAAATTCCTAAACTATGTCAATGGTTCAGAAGGGACAGGCAAGGCAGGAGGGGCAGAGGGGGATTGCCCTCTACAACAGGAAATTAATGGACTGTGAAGGGCTCTCTCTGATGCCACAAAGAGGTCAAAACTTCATGGGTGAGAATCAGAGACTGAGGTAACAAAGGGAACCTTGTGGATGGTGTCTGTTAGAGGCTGCCTGATCAGGGAGAGCCTGTTCACACCTTCTTGCTCCAGCACAGGAGGCACTGAACTCACCAGACCTCATCCTGCTGGGGCACTTCAACCCTCAGCATCTGCTGGAAAAGAAGCACAGTGAGCTGTAGGCAATCCAGGGGACTGCTGGGATGCACATGGATAACCCTAAGCCAGGTAATGGAGAGCCCTGACAGAGGGGATCTGTCACTGGACCTGATGGTCGCCAGTGCAGTGAGCTCGTGGGTGACGTCAAGGCCGGAGGCAGCCAGGGCTGCAGCGAGCATCCCTGCTGCATCTGCAGTCCTGAGGAATATGGGACAGGCCAAGAGCACAGTCAGGACCCTGAATTTTAGGAAAGCAAACTCCAGCTGCTCAAGGAATTAGTCAGTAGGATGACATGGGAAACTGCCTCAGGGACAAGGGAGCAGAACAAAACTGGCAGATCTTTATGGACACTTTCCTTAGAGCACAAAACTCTTGATCCATTGGTATAAGAAATCAGAACCATTGCAGGAAATGTAGGGAAAAGACTGGTATAGATAGTCAAGACTTTCAGCTTGAACTAAAGGGCAAGAATGCCTAGACAATGGAAGCAGGGACGGGTATCCTGGGACTAGCGTAGGGACACAATCTGGCTACATAGGGATGGGGTGAGGAAGGTCCAGGAAAAGCTGGAAGCAAACTTAGCAGGGGCTTCAAGGAACAACAAGAAGGGCTTCTACATATATGTCACCAGAAAAGACAGATCAAAGAAGGTGTACCTACCCTGATGAGCCACGCTGGCAAACTGGTAACAACAGACAAGGAGAAGGCTGAGGTACTCTGCAAGTTTTCCCCTCAGTCTTCACTGGCAACCTCTCTTCCCACACCTCTTGAGTGGATGAACAGAAAGAGACCGCACAGTGCTGCCAACTTGTTTGCTCTGATCCTTTGGGCGGGTTTAGGTAGCTTTATTTACTCTGGGTGGACTGCAGGAGAACCAACAACTCTCAGGAGGTTCAATAACAAACATTTACTTGCAAACTTTAGAATGTTAAGGTAGAATAAGGTTCTTGGCAAATTTCAAAACGTAGCTGGTTTTGCTAGTAGTAGCAATATAAAAGCATAAAAATAGCATTTAAGAAAAGGCATAAGATAAAAGAAACAAAAAAAGAGCAGAAAGGCGTATAGTCACCACCCCTGGATCCAGCCATGAGACTTGATTGTTGCAATTTTGATGTTCCTTGGGTGAAGGGATGGTTGCAGTCTTCACCTGTTCGGGGTGGAGGAAGCCACAAAACATGAAGTCCATTGGGTTAACATACACTCAGGCTAGGTGGCAGCGCCAGGGTGTTTTATGCTGGATGGTGTAATACTGTGGATCATGGGACATTCTGGGAATATTTGATATCTTCTAAGATGTTACAGCTCCCTCTTATATCTGCATGGTAGAATCAGTTATGGCCCATCAGAAGGGATGAATGTCTTCAGGCTTATCTGAGATTGTCCCGGGGCTTCACTTTTCCAGAGGGAAGTTTTCACACCTGAGCCTCTTATGCAAGGACATTGTGATGATAAAGAGCACTATCCCACCTCAAAGGATTTGCCTCTTCCCTGCCTGTCCCTAATCCTGTTCAACACACAGCTTTTAGCCTCAAGGGAGGGGTGTCCACCCTCTCTACACCTGGGCAATCCCTTCCAATGTAAACTATTCTGTATTTCTAAATACTGGCTCTTTGTAGTAAAGATGATACCTAGTGTGTGCCCAGCCAAAGTTGATGGTTGATCAAATCCTTAGTGATGGATACAGACCAACACCTGGTATTTGCTAAAAGCTACTTTTTGGAGCTATCTGTGCATCATATGTGGATTTGTTTCTATCTGGAGAGTTAACATGATATATTATAATATATTAATATTGCAAATGTGTGAAATGGTCTCACTCTGTAAATCAGAATGTTAAACACCTGCCACCCTCTTGACTGGAAGAACATGCTGAGAATTTTCAGGGCTATTGAGACTGAAGAGACTTGATCCAGAAGTGATGAAGTTACTTTGAAGATGTGCTGTAATTATTCCAGTGTCGGGCACCATCCCTTTTACAGTGTGTTGCTGTACCTCACCTTCTTCTGCAGAATTCATTATTTCTGTCTCATGGATGAATGTTAAAATAGGTCCATTATGAAGAAATGCTGAGATGAATGAAGCTGCAGAGGCTTTATTGTTCAGTCACAAATTGACTTTTAATCTGACTTCCTAAGTGCCTGGGTGGTCTTGACTATTTGCATGCCTAAGAAATAAATGCTTATGTCTACAGACAGAATGAATTTACATTCTTGTTTTTCCTAGCTCACTTTAGATATATGGCATTGAGCATCATGAGCCAAGCATGTGTATTTCTGATGTCACTGTAGCATCATTTACAGCACTGAAGCCAGAATAATGTCTATGTGCGTACTATTTGCTGCCTTCCTCACAGACCTCAATTATTTATATTTCAGAGACTCAAACTGGTTTCCAAATTGCAATTTTGTTTTTCAAACAACTGAGGAGACCAAAAAAAGTTTTGAGATTCACCATTAGATATGGTATCCCCTCTATCACTTTTAAGGCAGCTGCTATTGCCAGGAGACACTTAATTCTGAGGGAAGACATCCAAGCAATAGTGAGTCAAGACAGATTTGTGGGACACATATCTAGAAATTCAGAAAGAAATGTCTCACATTGCTTGTACTAAAACTGTTACAACACTGATTATATTTAGGCTGAAACAAATACATGCTTCCATATGCCTTTGAACAGTTAGTAAGGGATTAATGCTAATATATGTTTAACTCAGCAATTGTAATTAGCCCATTTCCAGCTATCTTCTTTTCTCAAAGCTTTATTTATGAGACAATAGCAAAGCTGGCAACAATAAAGAATTTTTTTACATGCTTTCAGAAATATGAATATTCAAGTGTGATCTGTGTGAGCCCTGGCATCAGCAATTGTGCCCAGATGTGTGTTTCTCTTCCCTGGGAGTGTTCAGTGGAACAAGGTGTCAGGGATATTTTCATGGACACCTGCATTGGCTTCATTTCCCACTGTTTTTACAGAAAGTTCCAAATGTCCCTGGTAATTTGGAGAGGTAACAATTACTGCTGCTCCATATGGCTTCATCCCAAAAATAACTTCAAAAGTAACTTGCAAATACTGTCTGTATGAGAAGCAATTTTGAAAAAGTCTGGATAAGTGCCTTGATGAATGAGATTTGTATAATACATAAAGGGACAAGCACTGTAACACTTTTTGTGGCAATAGGCAAGGAGGGATTTTCTACTGTCTAAATTTTGAAAAGATATAATCATCTCCTAAAAAAGAGAAATAGCTCTTGTACCTTTAATTGGCTTAAATAGAAAGGATTTATTGAACTATTAATCTCTTCTTGTCCCAAAGGAATTTTATTCCTGTATTAAGGCTTTATTTTCTTTCGTGTGGCTTAAGTTATCTAGCTATTGAACTTGCAATTTGATTTTCAGTAGTGAACTGAGTCTCACTCAAAGTGATGTCTTTAAAAAGGTAAAGACAGGTATGGGCTCACCTGAGAAAACTTCCCGTAAGATGTCTCTCAAATGTTCATTGTACTTTATTGTCATTCTTCCAGGCTACATATGATGCAACTGTAAGAGATAAATGTTTTTCCAAAGATGTTGAATTTCAGTTCTATTTTGATTTCTCAATCATATTACTAGGCTTTTGGTGGAGTTACAATAAAAAAATACCACATTCCTTTGCTTCAGGAGGAATTTTCCTAGTGATTGCTTAGGTTGATACTAATGTGTTGGACGTTAGCTGCTCCGTTCAAATAGTTGACAGTGCTGCTTAACAAATATGAAAGAATTCAAGATCTTCTGGAAGAAAGTAGAAACTTACTTCCTGTAACAGTGCAGTTAAATGCCACCTTCAATTTCTACAGGAAAGTGAGAAAGAAAAAAAAGATGAAAGAAAGAAAAGAGACAGACTTGGGAGTGTTTGTATTTAATGTTTGGTAAAATGAACAACAATAACAACAACAACAAAAAAAATACAAGAAAATGAAATATGCACAGTCTTGACACTGAATAGTGTTTTAGTCTGTCAGCAGTTTTACCAGAACCCACAACTACTCAGGCAAAAATAAATCTAAACAAAACTGCAAATGAGCTAGCACTACACATTTTAAAATAATAAGCTCTGTCCTTTTCACCATTCCCATTCCCTTGGAGGAAATTTCTTGTATTTTGTTATTCCGTTGACATTTTCACTTCCAAGGAGGGGTGAATGTCCTTGGTTCATCACAGTAGTGTTTGGAAGAAGGGTGCTGGTAAATGGAATAATTTTAATCATGGAAGAGAATCACTCTAGTCCTGCATAACAAATCTGATTCAATGTAAGCAATTTATTTTCATCAAAAACTTAGTTTTTGTCAGAGATGATTTTTTACTGTGGCTATGTGGTTTGGTTGTGACAGCAGCTGCCACTACTCAGTACGTGCAGTTCATCCAGGGAACAGGCAAAAGGCATTCCATCTGGACATGACCTGTAGGAGACGATAAGCATGGCACTAAGCCACACTACAGCAATGCAGTAAGTGAAGCTCCTCTTTCATATCCTTATGAGTGCTTCAATGTAAGAGAGTCCCTATGGGATACTACTATAAAAGCAAGCAGTCCTTGACCAAACTGGAGCAAAACCTCACTAATAAAAGGAAGAGAGACTACAAGAAATCTTCTAGAGGGTCAGAAACAGGAATTTCTGCATATTGGTTTGGCTGAAGATAGTCTATTTAAAGATAGTATCTTGTAGTTACATAGAAAGTGAGATTATCTAATTTCAGGTATGCAGAAACTGGCAAAATATCCATGAGGGGTTATGTTAAGATACAGTTTCCTTAGGGGAAAAAGTGCCCTTACTTCCAAGAAAAATGAGAACTATTTATCAGCTGGATTTGTAAAAAATCAGGCTTCCTCTCTGTCTAGGGCTTTTTAAGAGGAAAGGAAGAAGAAATACTTTCTTCATGGGTAATGATTCTAGTTGCCTTTTTAGTGTACATATGTTACTGTGCTAAAAGCCCACACAAAGATATGTGGCCTGAAGCTGCCAGTTTGGAGGGGCCTGGGGTGAAGCTGGAGGATGCTTAGTCTTCACAAAAGGCCCAAAAGCTTAGTCTTTAGCACTTGTATGCCTGCACATCAAACACATACTTTGTTTGTTTTCCACCCCCGGCAATATGTAGTAATGAAGATGTCCTGGTAGTTTATTACTGATAGCAAAGAACCTGCAAGTGGATAAATTAACTTTGCTGTGTCTAACGTGTGTTTCTGCAGAGATGCCCAGACTAGTTCTGAAGGAGCATGGTCATCCTGCTGAGCTCAGGACTCAACAGGGGCCCAGGGCTCTCCCTGTCCTTCAGGACTTCCCTGCAGCACACAGGACAGGTGCCCAGGATCTGCACTAGGATCCACGCAGGCATGCCTGGATCTGCACTGGGACCCCCAGCCAGCAGCAGCATCCCTTTGAGCATACTTTGAAAGGTGAAAGTGCAGCATCTACCCTAGCCCTGTTGCTGTGTGTCAGACACAGATTGTCTCTTTGATTGCTTCTGGCATTTAATCTGTAGTGTATGCAGAGTAAACTTTTGCTTAATTGCAATTGGGAGCAGCCCCAGCATGGCATCTAGTGGGCAGAAAGATGTCAAGTGAGAGGTGCTGAGGTTCAGGTGCTTTGTTACATCCCCAAACTGGGACAAAAAATCTCTGGTTCTCTGCTAATGAATGAAAACTTTTATTTGTAAAAATGGAATTGAAATGGCTATCTCTGACTTTACTATTTGCATCTATTACACAATATTGTGTACATCTATTTCCACATATTGTGGAAACATGGAAGCCGTTATGCTGGCATTTGCATAAAATTTTCTGCCTTCTTCAAACCAAAGCATGTCTATAGTCCCCTGAGACTCTGAGTAATCACACATTCTCTTGTGGAACATCTAGCTAAGTGATGCTTCAATAGCATTCACAGATAAAATAGCATTCTTGGAAAATCTTCACCCATGGCTAATCACACGTATCTCCTGTTGATTAAGAGCTCCTTGGCTTCAAGGGTTTTTTAAAATTTATTACAGTTTCAGAAACATACACAAAAGAGCTGAAGCCCATGATTTTTTGCTTAGAGGCTTTTCATACAAGCAAGCCATCCTATGACTTTTCTCTCGCAAGACAACCATTTTTTCTCTTTTGGAGGTGAGATGCTTTTAATATAGGCCAAGATTTTCAGTAAAAGCCAAAGGTTATTTTGACTGAACTTCATGACAGATACTTTAAAATGACAGAATTTTCAGTGCATGTTCTACGCTTCAGGACAAGCAAGATGGTTACTCTGAGTCCACAAAAAAGAAAGAATTGTACAGAATTCAGCTTTTTTCCATCTTGGATGACCGCTAATCTCTTGCAAATCCAAAGCAAATCCACAGAAAATTTTTGGGCTATGGAGAAATAACTGAAGGGGGGAAAAAAGAAGGCAATTACACTGTTTATTTAAGCTGACACCTGATGCAAATTTGACTTTTTTAATTAAAAGAAAGTGCTTCAGGTACTTTATCCTGAGGATCTCATCAGCCCTCACTGTTTGACACAGAGCCCTGGAAAAGCAGTCAAAAGTGTCAAAACTTTTGCGCTAAAAAATGGGAAAAATAAATGCCAGATTTGCAACGATTTCAACACATGATCTGTCACTATTCTGCTGACATGGAGAAAAGTGGCTTCTCCAAGAGGAAGTGATGCCTCTTGTAGTCAGAAGAGGTTGTGGACAGCAATCCTGGCAAGTGCATAAATTGGGTTTCTTCTGCATCTAGCTCATTTCAGGAGATGGCATTTTAGAGATGAATCCTCATGCTGTGAAAAGATGTGATCCCACTTGCAGTATATAACAATTCTACGGTGTTTCTTAAGGGGAGTTGGACACATCTGAATTTCTGGCATCAGCCCAGGCTCTCCCAGAAGGTCTATTCTGAGCTCCCTGTGCAATGAAGTAAGAGCTGTGCATATGTCAGTGTACTAAAGGTTCTGCATGCTGTGAAACACAGTTAAGGAAGTTTCTCACAGGCACCCCTTGCTTTTATATTTGGAGATCCAACAATCTTGCAATGGCACAAAAATCTGGTAAGAAGCATGGATTTGATTTCAACTGACAAGTATTATTGGTTTAAGCTAAATTTACCTCTGTTTGAAGCATAACTTAAAAGATTGCTGTTCACTCTTGTTACTTCAGTGATGCAGAATTCAAGGATGCCAATTCAAAGATCAGGAGATGCCTAATTAGGAACACTTACTGAAATTTAAAACACTTCCAAGCAGTTAGAGGATGACTGCTCAGATGCTGCAGTGGATATCACAAGTAAGGAAGCAGAGTGAATTCTCTCACACACTGGCATTATTGATAGCATGGACATTTTCTGTACACTGAACTGAAAATAATTCAATACAAGCTCACACATCTCAAGACTGTCTCTTTGTATCTCAGCATTGATTAAAAAGTGTTCACCCGAACATCAAAATCAGTTTTTCCAAAATAATTTTTTCATTGAAGAGCAGCTCAATTGATGAACATATTTTAGTAGATGTTTATTCCCTACCAAAAAGTCTACAGTTTCAAAGGAGAAAAACCACACTGTGTGAATTCATTCTAAATATAGAATGAATAGATAAATATAGACAAACTGTAATAAATATTTCTGGACACATCTATTTTATTTACTTTCATCCCTTCAGCCCATCTTGAAGCAAAAAACTGGAGTATCAGCACTGGGCACTGGAGAACACCATGAAGAAGTAGAAATGCCTGAATAGGAAAATTCATCATGTTTTTACTTGTTGCAAAACAACTTCAATTAGGTAAATTCTGACAATTTAGGATCCATCTTTATCTGAAGAACTCTTCTCTTTCTGTCAATGGGGATGTCACTTGGCACCATGAGTTCAGGAGATAGATTCTTATCTACCAGAAAACACATATTTGACCTGACAAGCAAAGACCTAATTTTATCACAGTAATGTTGATTTTTGTTGGTTTTCTTTTTTTAGAGTCATCTAAGGTCTTTGAGGAGTATAATTCTGCAATTATTTACTTAGGGAAAAAAAAACAAACAAAAAACTGCCACAAAACCAGAATTCTAATTATAGAGAGACATTTATGTTTGCATTCCAGGGAACACCTTCCTCGATATTACTTGGCTGGCACTGGAGAATGGGAATAAAAGGCTGTACTGGTATATATGTTAGTCAACCTGCAGAAAAGCTCAGATTTCAACTATGCCCTTTAATGATCTTTGAGGATCAGAACAAACCAGCCAAGACTTAATTTTCTACTAATTAAATGGCATTTTTGTCTAGTCTGCATCGATCAATAATACAATGTTTTTAGTGGTCAGTGCCATCTGCCTCTGTCTTCTTACACACCTAAAACTCAAATGCCAAAATCATTTTTACAATAGGGTAAATCAAATTAATTATTTGCATTAAGGAGCAATCCATGCTATTAATCTCTGTTGCAGTGTGCAGTTAAGAGCAATAAAGGCTGAATCCTGATGACATAACCCATGAAAACTACAGTAATTTAAAATTTATTTACTCCTGAAACTTGACTAATCTCTTGAAAAGTTCAGATATCAGAGAGATAATCTGATTTTAAAGCCATTAACAGGATGCCAGATGTAATGTGTCACTGTACCTTGCATGTGACAGTATTTTCCCTAACAATGTCATAAACAGGGTACATTTAAAATTAAAAATGTAGCCTCCACAACACAAAATGCCAAGAAAGGCAGTCCAGTATTTTACAAACATGTTATTAGTGAAGAAAGTCAAGCTTTTAAAATTGAAATTACTGTATTAATTCACAGCAGAATCACATCCAGAAATTTTTCCCTTGTTTCAACCTATTGATCAGGCAAGTGGATTTAAATTTCTTGCAAACACTATTTATTATTCTTTATGTATCTTTCTCACCTGCAGTCTTCTAGAAATATTCAATTACAGCATCAGAAAGATCAAAGTAGGGTATGCTCACTTCCATCTGGATTCCAGCCAGTGCTATCTGCTAGGTCCATCTTTAAGCTCCCACACATCACTGTGCAAGCAGAGTAGCTGTACCACACACCTCTTCCCCTGGGGTAACACAAGAGGACATTCATGCAGAGCTCTCCATCAATAGGGAGATGTCAGCCCATCTGGAAAGTTGTTTACAGGCCATGTAAAAGGGGGACAGAGAAGAGGGTTGACTCATGGCAGCCAGATTCATAAACAATGACCCAAATATCATTGTTTCAGAAGGAACGGTGCAAGAGCTAAGCTCCCTCCCATGAATTTGCACAGCCAGTATTTATGCTGCAGATAACCCCAGCTGACCTTTCTAGCATTCAGAGAATAATAGCTTTGCTGAGATGAACCAGTACTGAACAACTTTTCCAGTGTGTCAGGCAAAATAAACTCTGGATTCACACTATCTATGCTGTCTTTCATGAACTTACATAAATGTAACAAATAAACAAGAATCTATTGCAAAGAAATGCCATGCTGCTCTTGTTCAAATTCTACTACTTTCCTTTTCCACTACATCTGAACAATATCTCGTGTTAACCCTCCTGGCGGGGGATGAGGAAAGCAATTAACTTTATAACTTTGGTGCCATGGCATAATTGGTTCCCCCCTTTTCTGCCTTCATGATAATTTCAAATGTATGAAGAATTAATATTTAACTACCTTCTAAAGTTTATGATGCCTAGGTTATTAGTTTTATCAGATACTGGTTAATGCATATTCCATTACAACACAATTGTGTGAGCTCTTCCTTGGAAAAAGAAAAGAACTTGTTTTCTTACAGCCTCAAAGAATAAATACCTTTCACTCTGGGAGAAAAATTAAATATGTACATATTGCTTAGCCTCAGCTGCATCCCCAGACATAAACCCCCCATATGCCTTCTATATTTTTATTACTACTATTTTTGTATTTTGGGAAATGCCCAAAACAAGCACTTCCATTCCTCCCTTGGTATGGTTTTAAAGTGATGAAAACTGACTCAGTTGACTTCTGTGCACTGGGCAAATTAGCAGGACCATACCACAGAAACCTTTGAACTAATATAAATTTAAGCAGTGCTATTTGTTATGAAGTTAAATACAAGCATCCTGCCTCTGGGAGCCTCTCCAGAGAGCAGAGAATACTGAACCAAAGGGATGCTAAGTTTCTTAACATTGCATTATTTAAGCCCTGCTGTCCTTTGCTGAACAAAAGAGAAATATATATATTTTTTAAACTGTCCATGGAATAAGAAGCATTGTTCTGTGGCTGACATAAATCATGCAGAAGCATCTGACCCTAGCTGCTTATCTTGGGTGATTTCATTAGCTAGTCTTACAAGCATATCTTCCCGGGAAGCAGGTGGCTTGGTACACTCTTCCCCCTGCAGGTGTGGGGTTTGCAGGCACCACTAGTGAGATCAATGTTGGGCAAAGTGGGTGACATCTGCATCTTGTGTTGAAGGTCACTCTGGAAATATAAGTTCAATTAAGCAACTGTACACCTTGGGGCAGAGGGAGAGGGGGGATGCCTGTATTCTGCTGTGACATATGGCAAGGGTCACAAATGCCATGAGAGCATGTCATTGTCCATACACAAACATCATTGTATCATTACACCTTATAATAGGTGCAATTGCATATAAAGAGATGGCAGCAGAATTGGCAGAGCCAGAAACAGAGTCTGGAGAGTCCACGTTTCTCATAAGCCTTGTTTTCATGCTGGCCAATGAAGCATAGCTGTTGGTGGCAGAAGTCTGAAGAGTTTCTGTATGTGCTTACAGTTATCATCTACATCCTTCACATCTCATTCAAACTTCTAAAATGTGCCTGATATCGATCAGATCTCAGCATTTCTAAGGTGTTTGTCAGTCTTAACAACTTCTTATCCCTAGCTGATAGCCCTCTACCTTCATTCATTACCTGGAATGATGTCTGCAGCAACCTTTTATAGAAACCCTGGCTACTTCCTCCCCCTTCAATCCAGGTGCACCTTGAGGTTGAGGTTGCAGTGTGCCTAAGGCAACCTGTGCCACAGTTCTCACTTTGAGGGGTCAGTCAGGTTCCCAGGTCCTCACCTCATCTCCCTTCCTCTGGGGAGCTGGGCCCAGGTGGGACAGGTCAGCTTAGGTGATATGGACCACAGGACAGGAAATCTGAAATCTCCCTTGTCCCACTATGCACCTGATCAGGAAACTGCAAATGGGGTCAAAGTGGTGGGGCTCTGACATCAGCCTGACATAAAAACCATTTCCCTGACATGCCCTTTTGGTCCTGGGTCACAGTGCCGGCTGCCTGGCTGTGCTTTCAGACTGTGCTTCCCCTGCTTTGCTAACGCTCGCCTTGGCTTCCCCTTCTTCTCTGTCTTGCATTTGTTTTAACAACACTGATGCAACTTGCACTTCTCCATGTGAGGACAAGCCACACATCTGAAGAGAAAATTGCTCCCTACAGATTTGCTTGCAGAGCCAGAAAAACAGTCCTTTGCAGAAGGGATTTTTCAACACTCAGTGTGCCTATGCCAAAATGCCTCAGCAGATTCCCTTGACTTCACTTCTTCACTGAACTAATTGCTCTGCTGGAGTCTGTTCCTGTTGCTGTCAGGGAGGCAATGGCATAAAGTGGATAATGGAAGCTATAGAAGTGGCAAACGTCCTGTGTTTTTTTTCCCCTGCTCTTCCTGCCCTAGGAAGGATGTGGGTTGATCTTGAGAGGAAAGACTTCAGATCAGTTCTGTTTCTTTCTTTTTCTAAAATCAGCTGCTAAGTGAAATAAAAAATTGTGCACAGGAATACTAACAGATCTTTGTTTTCCCCCCTCACTAAGAGTCAGCAGCTGCTTAGTATTTCACAGAGAAAGATAGGGAATGTGATGATTGTGGCCAGTGAAATGCACTGATTTGTTTTCTTGTATTGTTCTCAACCAAATTTCTTAGTGCTTTGAGACTTGAAAAAATCACAAAGAATATCAAAATTATGAAATTCCTAGGAAGAAAAAAAAAATTCAAGTAAACAAATTGTGAGTTAAAGTTTTACCATGAAGTAGCTTTGCTGACAAGAGAATTAGACCAAGATGATCTTGGCAAACAGGACATTGTGTTAACTGTGCAAACTTTTTCTATGTTGATATATATCTCTTAATAGTACAGTAGGATCTTTTTATCCACATTTCATGGAGAAACTGATTTACAGATTGAAAAGAAGATGAGCTCTTTAAAACTGTACAAGATTTAAACCAAATCTTTTGGTATTCTACATCAGGTTTTCTGTATACATAGAACTATCTCCAACTCTTCTTTATTTTCTAGAGACTTTTTATTTCACCAGATTTACTTCATTTCTTCCATCTTCAAAATAGATCTTTTCTCCCCAGCCTCCTAGATTGTTTAGAAAGAGAAATAATTAAAGATGGAGAAAGGGAAGTGAGAGGTTTTGATGTCACATATTGAGTTATGCTTTGGTTTTTCTAGCTTATAATTTTCTTGAGACCCCTCATACTGTAGCTAGCAGTATGCTGTTCTCTTGAACAGCAATTTGTCAAACTCTTTTTGTCATAGCTTCACCTCCACAAGTGAGAAAAAGGCCCATTTCTACAGATGTCCAAATAAAACCTCTTCCAGAATCAAATGGTTAGTGCCCTGAATTGTCATATAGCAAATGCACAGTCTCTAAATAATTATGGAATGTATGAAGATTCAATGGGAAACGGGAAATGAAGGAAAATGAAAAAGATCTCACCCTTTCTTGTTTTTTTCTTTTGCCCCATTTTTGTGCTCCATCCTATTCATGCAAGTCAGTATAAAAGTGCATCCTCTCTGCTCCCATGCCAGCCTACTCATGTTGTGGTTATATTCATTCAGCACTCAAGAAATAGGTGCCTAAGTCATTTGGATCCAAGGCGTATCACAAACACCATACTCAGGTCTACTTTTATCTTTGAATCAGTAAGATTGAAGTTTTTTCTGTCCCATAGCTATTTTCCCCACTCTGTGAGTTGCTGGAGCTAGAGTGGCCTGGAGAACAAACACCAAAAGGAAGATTTGCTGCAATGTTCACAAACAAAAGAAAAGTTGATATTAGTGTAAATTCTGAACCGTACACTTGCAGATTAGACAACAGCTGACTTCCTTGGAAATGCTTCTCTGGTTCCTGTTTCACAGATGTCCCACAGAAAATGAAATGCAGTCTTATTGTCCAAAGAGCTGGGAGGAAATTGTGGCTCCTGGTTGGTTTATGCTGAGCATGGAAAGCTGTTTGCAAGGATATATACTGAAGATGTTTCCATCTGCTGCCCTCTCAGCTATGAAAGAATTGCAGAGTTGGAACTCTCTTACAGGATCCTACTTAATGCACTGGCCTAGCCCCTTTCTAGGCTCTGTTTGTAAATTCTCTGGTACAAAAGCAGGGGTGCACAGCAGGTAATACATTTTGAGAGGAGTATTGTTCTACTACCAAGGCCATATCATTGCTTCTGGTCAGCTTCTGGGCTCATGTTTTACAGGACTAGCTGAAGGATGCCAGAATAGGGCAATACTCCCTATCATTTCATATTATGTCAAAACCAAACCCATGGATATGAAAAAGGGCTGTGAACTCTGTGAACTATTTTTTATAGATATACCATATACAGATCTCCAAAAGGTCAAGAGAGGGGAGCAGAGGAGTCTTACTTTGGCTCTGTCTGAATGGTATTTTTTCTTAGGAAATCTCTTATCCAACAACTTTGTCTGTGGCCACAAAGGTTATTGTGTGTATTGCATGTTTGTATTAAGGTAATGAATAGAGCTGCCCCAGTATGTGTGTAAAGTGCTCATCAGTCATCCTCTCTACTCTAAAATGCTTCTGTGTGATTGTAAACACGATGGAGAAATGATTGATCCACTTCTAGGTAAATGTTGGATAAATAAGAGAAAAAAGCCAAGCATACACAAACAACGTGCTCAGGGCGATGGCTTTATTCATATTCAAATCCATATTTTACTATAATTCTGGCGACTGTGACCTATCAACTAAAGTGGGATAGTTCCTTTCCTTGGTAAAAGTGATACCAGAAAATTAAATTACCTTCTTC